AAAGCTCGTGATATTCAGAAAGACTTGTGTGATGTGGGGAGCTGACCTTTTCGGATTGGTGGCAAACCGCTTTTGAACGAAGGCACCGACTGTAGAGTCGAAAGCTGCCTGGTGAAGCTCGATTTGCAGATCCTGTAGCGGCTGCCCTAGGCCGCCAGCAACTTCAAGAGATAACGGACCTGTACGAACTTAAGGATATCTACAGCATGGATAAGACGGGACTTTGCTACGCCATGGCTCCGGCCCGCTCAATTTGTACTAAAGGAGCCCGCGGCGCCAAGAAAAAGAAGACAATAATTACCCTCGATCTAACTGTAAGCGCGGACGGGACTGACAAGCTGCCGGTGCTCTATCTGGGGCACGCAAAGAACCCTCACTGTTTTAAGAAACGCACGGCGGAGGAACTCGGCTTTAGCTACCGCTCTAATAAGAAGGCGTGGATGACAGGCGTCATCTTCAGGAAGTGGCTACTCAATTTAGCCAGGGATATGCGAGGGTGTGGGCGTCATATCCTCCTGCTTCTCGACAATGCCTCTTCACACAAACTGGGGATTTAGTGTGCTCCAATATTCGAGTGGAGTTTCTTCCCCCCAACACTACTGCGTTTTTACAACCTATGGACGCTGGCATCATCGCATCCTTTAAAATGGCGTACAGAAGGAAGCAACTCCGCTGGGTATACGACAAGATTAAGGACGGCATTGAGGTTGATAGTACGGCGTACACCGTGGAATAGTTGCAGGCAATGCAATGAAGCAATGAAATCTGGAATGAATTGCAAGGTAAGCGTACCATTGCTAACTGCTTTCGTCACACGGGCATTATCTTTAAAGCCGTAGATGAAAGAAGCAAAGATACCGATTATCAGATGTAGATGTGGAGAATGTTATTATCCTTGCTTCTCAGTTAAATTTGTAGTGTTACCCTTATAAAATAAATCAAATATTAGGGTATGGTCGACCACGATACCGGAAGTAAGAGCATTTACTGTAGTGCAGGAGCTGCACAGAATAAGCATCGTCACTAACTGGCTGAAAGTGATTTTATCCAATGGTAAGTTCGAAAAGACTGGGCATTTAAGGGGGGCTTTTAAAAAGGTTTTCCGTACGGTGGCACAAATATTTCTATATGGTATGATCTATTTATATAGATTTAGGCTTTATAAAGTATAGAAACGATTTTTAATTACCTTTCAGCTGTTAAAAAAAAAAGAATTAGCCAATTACATTTTTAATTGTTGACTTGCGCATTTATTCATCAAATCGTGTCCTAAAGTGGCTGCACAATGTCATTAGCAGAAGTTGCAGTCGTGGACGCGGACGTCTCGTCCTCGTCGCCACTTTCACTCTTCGTGCACTGTACTCGTCTCGCTGCAGCTTCCGCTTCGACGGCTGCTATCCGCTTGCAGCTGGTGGACCCTCCAACTTTATACGAGGCTGAAGTCTCTTCCCGTCACAAGCCACGCGCGCTCGACTGTTCCGGTGTCGAGTATGTGGCGGCGGTGGAGACAGCGCTAAGCTCAATGGCAGACACAAAGCCTCGCTTCGAGCTCCGATGGTCAAGACAGAAGCGCACACTGACGCTAATGGAGCGCTCCGAGTTCGCCATGAAATTCTGCGCCATCGAGTTCCGAGTCACGGAAAGTGGTGACAAATGGCGTATGTTACTGCATCAAGTGGCAACACAGCAGCAAAAAGAAAGAGAATTAATTGACAATAAACGTAGCAGAGTGGCACAGCTCGAGACGCTGCTGGAACAAAAGGAGAAGCTTCTGGAAACGGCATTGGCAGCGAAGCAGAGCACGGAGGATTGTCTGATCCAGGGCTTCTGCACCGTGTTAAATGCCAAGAAGGACGAGATCAGGAGACTGCAGGACGAGGTAGAAACAGCGCAGAGATACGAAATTACACCAATGGTCAAGAAGAAGCCAGTGGTGAAGAGAGCGAGGAAAGCGACGGGGCCCATGTTAAAGAGGAAGGAGGAGAGCGATGAGTCTAGTAAAGAAGAGAGTGATGAAGATATGGGTACAGAGGAGGAAGAGGGGGAGTCTAAGCGAACGAAGAGAGATGCTATTGACGCGTACAGTCACTTGCCAGCGAATCTGAAGCCGAGCTCGGTGCAGGTTAGCTCGGCGGAAGATCTGCTGTCGAGTATGGACGACATTATCAAGAACGAAGAGGAGGTGGATGAAGCCACGCAGCGAGGAGATAAGATCCAGGTGAAGTCGGAGCCAGTGGCAGCATCACAAGAGTCGAGACCGCGCGTGAAAAATGAGGCCACGAGACCAAACCCAACGAAGCCAACGCCACCTCCTCTGGTCGACGAGACGATGGACTCAGAAGAGGAAGATCTCCTTGACATGTTATCGTAAGTAGTCGCTGGTCTAAGTAAGCTACACGCACACTTGAGGATCAAACAGCCTAAACCATCTTCACTAAACTGTTCTTTTTTCAGCCCATTTCTGCGAGACTATTACAAAATCAACGGCGTACGGCAACAAGATCCAAACTTTAATTTTGATTCACAGGCATTTCGGACAATGCAAAAAGGCTAATATCTTCGAAAAAGAAAATTTAGATGCTCTCAATATCCCAAATTAATTACCCTCTTGTCGATGTTGGAGCGCCAAAAGGTGCGTGTTTTCTGAAAGTGCAGACGGCGTGCGTTGTGACGTATATTATACTGTATCATCTAACGTTGCTGGAGGAGAATGGAGTACAATGTCCATCGTGCTGTCGACTGTGCTAACACCCGCCACTGCTGTCTCAGCAAAAGGACGATGGATGAAGCCGCTGAACAGGGTCATTTTCTGGCTGTGAGACTGATAAGGATTGTACTTGCGTATGAGCTGCTCTTCTACTGGCAAACAAGAATATAGCAGGTAACAAGAATGACCTTAGTACCTTGGGGTGGGTATTACTAATAACTCTAAGATCGTTTGTGTCAGCCATCAGCAACACAATTGCTGACTTCGCGGGAGCAGTTTCAAAATCTTTTCCACAGTGACTTCTGGAAACTTTCTTGAGCTATTTGTAACAGTTTAAATTTACTGTTATTTGTATTAAATTGTGTGGTGCAGCTTTGACAAAGCATCTCCTGCGCCTGCTTCACAGCAGCATCGTCTACTTTGTTTTGCCATACTCCGATGTGGTGCGTACAGCGCACTGCGATAAGCGTGTGAAGCTGACATCAGAACATGAAAGTACTCTGACTTTGAAGTTCACAATTATCGAGTATATCGTAGCTCTAGTTCTTGAAAGCAAAAGAGAACAATGTGGTAAGCCGGGGAATGATTTAACTAGCTGCGACATTGAAAATAGCTCTTAGAAAAGTACATTCAGTTGCTCTTCGTTCGATTAACCAGTTTATGTAAAAAAAAAAGGAGGTCGTTTTCCAATCCTGGTTCAAAACGGCTGACTCGCCTTATACACCATCGTGAACAAGAATATAATTCCGACCACAAAGAGAAATGCAGCACCATACTTATTCCACATTTGGCCGAATGTACGAGACGAACTCGTCTTAGCCGCGAGGTGGCCGACATTCGTGACCTGCCTTGACGTGAACTGAGCTGGTCTTCTTCGTAGGAGCGACGCAAGGCTGTTCAGCTTCAGGTTATTCCTGAAGCTTTGGACAATACCTGGTTGCTTTACCACTTCCTTGAATGCTTGATTGACTTTCGGGTTTTTAAGTGCCGTGGCAACTTCCGGGCTATGTTTCATTCCAGCGCCAAGGTTTGAAGTCTTGGAGAACAGTGACTTGATTCCATTGAAGCTGGGCATCTTGATACTTATCCCTCTCTCTTCTGTCGCTGGGCCAAATGAGTCAGTGGCAGCTTTGAGGTAGCGACGAGAGTCGGCGTCATCTCGTACCTCAGATTCCGACTTGGCCTCACCGCTGATACTAATACCCTTCACAGTGTCTTTAGCGACAACGACAAAAGCAGCTAATGCGACTACCAGGAGAGTCAACAAAGTGCGATGGCGCATTCTTTCGCGTAAGAGCATTGAAGAGGCACGAACGATGCTAGTGTTGTCTTCAAGGCCGATTTAGAAATGGAAATTGTTCGCCATGTGGGTGGACTGGGAAAGTCGATACCTACGTAGGCGATTAATAAAAAGAGACGGAAACTTTCGTCACTATCGATATATGTGGCGTTGTCAATCCATCCACAAAATTCATTACTACGTACCAGCTAATACATGCAACGCAATGCTACAGCGTCGTTAACGATGCGTGGAGGGAAGTGTCGTGATCAACTGGTCAGAGTAGTGACGTAATCAAAACGAAAAGGAGAAAACAGTCGGTTCGTCATCACTCATAGCCATGCCTTTTAACAAATGTTAAATTGCGAAGTTTATGGTAAGACAATGGCACCGAGCTTGTAGCAGTGTTTTTGCGGCTCAACTTCAGCGTTGAAGTAGATTTAATTACAAACTACTGAACCTATAATTGTGCCTTTCCCTAAAATAGCCAACCCCCCCCTAAATTTTGAGCAAGTTGGACTCCCTTAACCCCCCCCTTGGACTTATCCTCTGCGAACCAAGGCGGTACCGGAAACGAGGTTGCATTCTGACCAAGACGAAGAAGCCAATAGCCTTCCCGACGAAGTTGAGCTAATCATAGATGATATTTCTAAACTTAAATGTAGGAGGGCCTGGCAGAACTTCAACCTCAATACGACTCGACATTGATTTGTGCCCCTGGAGTGTTTGAGGGTGGGGTACATACTACAGGGGCACAATTAGAGGTTTTACAGTATTAACTGCATGAATATCGATTACGAACCGATTTACAACCATAAACCTAAATTGCCACAGTCCCACTTGATTTTCCTGTACTTCCATGCCTTTTACATGTATAATAATTGTTATCGTGGGGCATTACCATCTTAAGACTTGCATATACTGCCCTCTTTGCTTGTCAACTTATTTTTCTATCAAATTCGTCGCTCAGTTCGCAAATCACTTTCCAGCCCCGACGACAGTTTGGTACTTGTCATGCGTTTTAGCTACATCACTTCCGTCACTGCAGTCGTCTTCCTCACAAGTGGTGAATTTGTAGCCCCCTCTGTAAATGCCGAAGAAACCAAGCTCGTGGTTTTAGCACAAGCTTCGAGCATAACTGATCAGAATGTTGTCGCTGGCAAAAGGCTTTTAAGAGATGATGGTGCTCGACATGGCAATTTGTCCGCCCAAGAAGACCGCTCGTTTCTGGAGAACACCCAGTTTTTGTACTGGTACATGATGGGGAGGACACCTCAGAGCGTCTACAAGAAATACTTCTAAGGCATGGACCGCTCCATCGTCGCCAATAACCCGAACTACGCCGTTTGGAAGAGATACGAAGACTACTACAAGAAGAAGACAAGTGCTTAGGAGACCTAAGTGCCAATACGGTTTCTGCCATGATGGCTTCTGTCACGCAATTTGTGTACGTTGAGGCGTAACTGAGAATATAGTTGATCATTTTAGCAAGGATACGTCATAACCATCACTACTTGTGCTTCTTTTGTTGCGAGTCAAGTACTAAGAAGAACTCGTACTGCATACGAGGCTCGTGATAGTTTAGGTACTCGCACATCGTGATGATCCTGTCGCCCCACTCTTCCGCAGATTCGCCGTAATTCCTCTTAGCGGCCTTGATTCGGCCCCACAACTGAGCTGGCGTCTGAAAGATGAAGCGGTTGTGGAATCTCCCGCGCAGAGTCTCAAAATCGTTGATCCTCGCATTGTACCACCATTCCTGACCCAACTTGTCCTTCAGACACTGCTCGAAGGCTGTCAACCGCATTTGGTCGTCCATACCGAGCGTACACTTCTCGAAGGAAAGCCAGATCGCGGCCGCCCTTTCGTACGTGGCCGTCTCTGAGTAGAATGGAACGAAAACTTTCACCGCGTTCCGCAATTCCGTCGGGATACCAATAATTGGAACGTCCCGCTGAGCACCTCACCCTGACCCGTGCGAGCCATTGCGGACTCCTTGGTCGTAGTACGGACTCGTCACTTGCCCTTGCGGTGGTATGTGCGTACCTGCCTCATTGAGCACCCACGTTCCCTTCTTGTCCTAGCGCTCCTGCTCGATCCGCTGGAACGTCGCAACATTCATAGGAGACGTTCTC